TCAATAGTTGCATGTGATCGTCTAAAAAGTTGTTGCATGGAAAAAAGGGGTTGACACTCTACAACATAAATTGTTTTAAAAATTTTCATTTACAAAATTTTCTCTAGGTGGAGACGTGTGAATCGCAAGTTCATACCAGTGGATTGGCTTGAAGTTGAACGAAACAATCTCGACAAGGTATCCCACAACTCACAGCATCAAGAGACCGACTATTCTAGGGCATGTTTACATTCCAAAAAAATCTACTTGAGTTGTTTTTTGATTACATTGCATCTTTGAGAAATTACTCAGATGCGAACATGGGAAGAGCACAAGAAATTGGTTGACGGAATAAAGAAGAAGGATCGCAAGAGGGTTAAAAAGATGGAGGCCGCTGGTATAGATTATGAATGCCCAGAAGTTGTAAGAACACACCTCTTTTTTCTTTAGAACATCTGATGTTGCATAGTGCTTAGTATTAGCACACTTTAAAACCGGATGTGTGGACCGGGAACATATGCAGCTAATCTAGTTTGAATCAGATATTAAAGGCCATCCTTAATAAGCGCTTATACAACATATAAACTGCTTCTGCTTTAAAGATCATGAAAGAATGAGTCAGTACTAATTCCTCTAAACTAATGTGTCATTTGCAGGCTGGTTACACTGAGACTGCTCCAAAGAAGATCAAATTCAACACAGATTAAGTGTTTATTGTACGGCCTATGGTATCCATACGACAATGTTATATACCAATGTTGTACAACACCATTTTTTACATGTTTTTTTAATTCTCATGGACACCATCCACTCTTTCACATTAAAAAGCTGTGTAATTTTTAAAAAAATGGTGTTGTACAACTTTTCGGTACAAGGATAGTTTTTTTTTAAATTTCTCCCAAATTGAGGATAATTTATCCCAAATTGAGGATAATTTTTTTAAAAAAATCTCACTTTTTCATGGTTCATATTATTTCACTTTCCTCTACACAAACCATAACCACAAAAGTTCTACTTTACTAAAAGTTGTGTCTATTCAATACAAAAATAAATATGGGGCTATTGTTTTTTCACAATGGCTCTTTTGACTTTGGAAATCAAGGTCATATTATGACTCAATGCTTCTTTGGTGCTTCATTCGTAAAATTGATGGTTCTTGCCCCTTAACCCCTGCCCTTGGACCCCATCCCCTCCCCCTAGAACGCCAATTTGGCACTATTGGGTGGGGGGTGTAGGGAGGTAGGAACCATCAATTTTACGAACGGAGCACCGTAGGTGCTCCAAAATGTCAAGGTCATTTAGGGTCAAAATTGCCTCGGGTCAAAAGATCGTTCCTTTTTTTTAAAAAAAAAAAATATTTTGATGTTTTTTACGCCTGCATTAGTACTTACTGCTCAAACCTTTTTTTCCCAGGAAGACATTGGTGGCCATATATATCAAAATATGCTGGAAGATGAGTTCAGTTCAAAAAGAGGCTATTTATCACTCTTGTGTGAAGAATGGCTGGCATCTACCAAACAGTTTCTATGTATGTCAGTAGCATGTTTTATATGTGGAGGTTTGTTCTAGGTCACAATTTGTCTTTGGATAAGTTTGAGCTGTTTGCACTAAAAACTAATGGTTTCTTTGGAATGCAATGCATGATTTAAAATTCTGCGTGTTTTTTTGGAGAACACATTCAACAGTCCTTGAATTATTGTCACTTTGACTTCGCTTGAAATTAAAAAAAAAATGAAGTGTTGTTGGGGTTGAATATAGAGGAGGGTGAAATAATATTACTCCGTATTTTACTTTCTTAGAAATGAAATGACTGATCATTATGACTTTTGTGATATGTGGAGCGTTACATGTTGAATGCATGTAAACACGCAGTGCTCGTATTCATTTAACTTTTGACGAGGTATATTATTTGAAGACACTACTTTCGTCGGAAATTATAACGCTTGTTTACTATTCACATAGTTAAATTTTATTCGTTTTTTTTAATTATATTTGATAAAATAATTGTCATGTAATTTCTTGTTTTGAAAATTTTTTATATAGTTTTTTTTAAATGTGCACTTTTTATTAAGTTTTTTCAATTATACAACAATCTTTAAATAAACTAATTTAAAAATAATTTCAGTCAAATACTGAAATCAACACAAGCACTAGGACGTAGAGAGTAAGGGTCCGTTTGGTATAAGGAATTGGTGGAATTGGAATTGAATTGGAATTGAAATTCCATGGGATTCAATTCCATAGAATTGAATTCTATCAATTTCGATTCATTTTTTGCACTATCAATTCCAAATCCACATAATTTTTGTGCTATCAAACACCAGAATTGGAATTGAAGTCTCCAATTCCAATTCCATTATTTGAATTTCATATACCAAACGGGACCTGAGATTCAATTCCATAGAATTGAATTCTTCCAATTCCAATTCATTCTTTGCACTATCAATTCCAAATCCACATAATTTTTGTGCTACCAAACATCAGAATTGAAATTGAAGTCCTCAATTCCAATTCCATAATTTGAATTCCGTGTACCAAACGGGGCCTTAAAAAAAGTTTAACTATTCAAAAGAAAAAAGTTTAGGCCCCGTTTGGTATACGGAATTCAAACTGTGGAATTGAAATTGAGGGCTTGAATTCCAATTCTCGTGTTTGGTAGCACAAAAATTAATTGGTTTTAGAATTGGTAATGCAAAAAATGAATTGGAATTGATGAATTTAATTCTATGGAATTGAATCCCATGGAATTTTAATTTCAATTCAATTCCAATTTCATCAATTCCATGTACCAAACGGACCCTAATTGTTCATCTGGAGAATAGCTTTCAAAAGACAATGTTCATCTTGAGCATCCTTTTTATCCTTAAATGACAAACGAAATTAGAGAGGTGATTACTTGATTATGCCAAAACTAGAATCTGAACAAAAAAATGAGCACATAATTTTCGGAGGCTAAAAAATTACACACATTCTTACTCTCTCTGTCTTAGAGTTGTCTCGATAATTTTTATTTGTTTGTAGTATTAAATCTGTAATTTATATTTTTTATATACTGATTTGTAAGCTAAATAGATTTATGAGATTTTACGTATTGTTCGAAGTGAGATAATTTTGGCAGTATAAAGGAAAAACTCAGATGGAGTGGGGACAATACAGTATGATACTGACCATGGCAGTTCTAACTATTGGAAACTCCACAGTTTTCACATAGGCAATGTTTGACGAAACAGAATGATAATGTGTTCGAAAATTGGAGAAGAATAAAAAACAGAAGGAATTGCATATTCAAAAGAAGATGGATTGAACTAAGTCTTTGCTAGGTATAGACTTGATGGATTAGGGATTTTTTCTAATCCAATATTATTTAAACAGTACAAGAAAACCCAATTTTATCTGGCCCAAGATATAAATCAGGTAAATTATTCAAGGCAGAGCCAGAGATATATGGACAGAAGAATATATTTGAAGTGATGTAAAAATATTCAGTGGAGCCCATATACAAGACATGTGCACATGGAGGTTACATGGTCACCTCATGGCATTGTTGGGATGCATGCATATACTCTTCTTTATAATGGACATTTACATAGGAAGATGGAAGCCAGATTCCTACAACATGTTCCTACTATTCTTCATTCTTCTTCTTCTTTGAGCTTGGAACTCCATTAATGGCTCCAAGCTCCTACAAAAATGTATATGTAAATTTCTCCGAGATTAATAAAAGTTCATCCACTTTGGCATGGCACCGCCTAAAAAGGCCCGTGATTTTCTCCCAATTTGGGTTTCCACGTATAAATACTTTCTCTCCGCTTTATTTATTTACTCCGTATTTAATTTTCGGATTTCGCTATTCGGTGCGGTGCCGACCCGGTACCAATTTCATCGGGTCGATGCCCCGAAAAAGCGGTTTCCATCAAGACTAATATTGGGGTAATCAATGAGTGAAATTTGCTCTAAATAATACTAAAACATAAATCCTCCGGTCATAAAAATCTTTAATGTTTTGACTTTTTTTATCAAATAGTAATACTCTTTGACCATAAAATATGAGAAAAGTTTATTTAATTACAATATAAATTTAATATAATTGAGTTCATCTTAGGATATACACTCTCCGTTCCTTAAAACCTTTCCTCTTTCATTTTTTTCCAATTTTCTAAAACACTTCTTTTTCTATTAAAAACCACTTTTACTCATACTTTTTCATATCATATCTATCACATCATACTTTTTCACTAATACCCAAACTATCACATCTTACTTTTACCCATCACATCAGTGACAAAATTAGAGAGTCAACCAAAATTACACTTTCCTTAATTTGGCTAAAAGTCAAAACAGGAACCTTTTAAGGGAACGGAGGGAGTAGTTTTAATATATCAAATTTTTGTATCATTTATTTATTTAGATTATGTTTAATTTGTTGTCAAAGAGTATCACCATTTGACCAAAAAAATAAAAACTAGAAAGGTTTTTAGGACCGGAAGGAGTATATCTTTTTCCAATGTACTACCTAAAACTTTTTATTTTCTAAATAATACTTGAACAATGTCCAATGGCAGGACCAGTGTCCGGTGGCGGTGGACATTTACTTTAATTAATGTCCAATATCCAATGGACATTGAACAGTCAACAGTGGTACTACATTGGAAAATTAAAACATATATTACTACATTGAGAAACACACTAATTGAAATTTAGTACTATATAAGTAAATTTCTCAATCAATAATGTGTGAGAATTGAAAATCCTACTAAGTGTAGAAATCTCATCATAGAAGATTTGTGTGGGTGTGTATATACATAGATTTCACACCACACACATACACTTATTCAGCAGATCTTCAAAATATAGTACTCTTTGTGTCCCTGAAAAGGGGTCTTGTTTTCCTTTTTTGGATGTAAAAAAAATGACTCATTGTATTTAATTTATATTATTTCTCTCTCCGCGGCATAATTCTCCGCCGTACAATTCACTTTTTTCTTAAACTTTGAGAAAGTCAAATCACGACAACCTTTTAGGAACAGGTGGAGTATTTCTTGAGAAGAACAATTCCTCGATTCGGTGTCTTGCAGTACGTGATCCGGGAAAGCTTCAGGGAAGCCATTCATGTCCAATGAAGAGTCCCTTACTAATCCATTGTTTCTGCCACAATTTTTGTGACCTGCAATTACAGAACAAAGCACATTCTCTCTAACCATAATGCTTGGATTGAAAGATATTATAACATAAACCATCCTCCCCAAAGTTTCATATCCGAAATAGTTTCGCCGTTATATCAAAGTAAAACAAAATCCGCGTAAATCAAAATAAAGATACTTCCCACTTTTCTTTTTTGGTTGTCCCAAAATTACCTTTCCGTTTTCTTTTCTGGGCATGCGTCTTTTACTTCTTTTATGTAAAAATATACTTTTACCCTCAACAACTTACATGTTTGCTACTTTTCACTTCCCTTTCACAAATCCCAAACAAGTAACTGAAGTAAGCTTTATACAATTTTCTTTCCACCCTTAATCTCTGTGTCATTTTCACATAAGATAATTTTGGGACGGGGAGTTTATATTACTTATAACCTATTAGTAACACCAATTTGGTCACAAATACCAATCAATTTACATACACTTTTTAGTGAAAATGGAATGAACAGATAAATGCAGGAAACGTACCAAAAATCGGGAGCTTAATCCCTAGAAGTTGCGGGAGCAGCTAATTGCATCCAATCCTTCTTAACACTCTTCATCTGAGCCTTCCTTGCTTTAGCTCTCATCTCCACCTATCCAGTACCCGAGTTCGCTGCAATATACATTTCAATATCATTAGTATGTTTTAAATACAACAACAAATGAAGTATAATCCCAACTCTGTTGGGGTGTGGGGTGAGGTCAAAATGTACATCATCTAGCCCCTGTAAGAACAAAAAAGGCTTTTCCCGTTAAACCCTTGATGAATTGCTTCATTTACTGCCAAAAACACCATAAAAGAAAGTACTCTCTCTATGTCTCACTACTTGCGTCTGTTTTTATTTACCCTTTTTATTCAGCCCATTAGTTTGTCAAATACCATATTGAGTAAGATTTGTGTGGCTCAAATTCATTGTTAGTTTTTCTACTAAACATCTAGATCAAATATGGAATTCCACTTTTATTAATTTGTGCGCCATTGCCCCATGTACCAATAACAGTGAGATGAAGGGAGTGAGAAGCAAGGGAAGGTCAAAAGTGCCATTTTTGATGTAGGAAAGAATAGAGTTTGCCTTTGAAATGGATCCAGCTGAAACCCGGTTCTTTGTTTATTCCTCGTTTAGTCATTGTGCTCCGTATACTATCCACTTTCTCCCACATGCCTTGAGAAGCATAAATGTTTGATAGCAACGCATATGCTCCAGATTTATTAGTACCCATCCGGAATAGCCTTTCTGCAATGTCCTGGGCAAGATTCAAGTTACCGTGATTTTTACAAGCAGCAAGAAGAGAATCCAAGATCGCAGCATCCGGCTCCATAGGCATACTATTTACAAGTGATTCAGCTTCAGCGAGTCGCCCAGCCCGCCCAAGAAGATCAACCACAACCGTATAGTGATCTATCGATGGTGGAATCTCATAGTCCCGAATCATCGAGTCAAAGTAGTTCAAACCTTCATCCACTAGCCCTGAATGGCAGCAAGAAAAAAGCAGCTCGAGAAAAGTTACTTGATTAGGGACAACCTTAGCAGATTTCATTCTCTCATAGATATTGATGGCTTCTCTACCCAACCCGTTTTGAGCACATCCAGTCAAAACAGCATTCCAAGTGACAATGTCTCTATGCTCAGCCTTTGTATCCTCAAAAATCCTAAACCCGTCACGGGACCCACCCTTGAAATACATGGTTATAAGAGCGTTGCGGACAAACAAACGCAAATTCAGGGCAATTTTATAAGCTAACCCGTGAATTTGTTCTCCCAACCGTGGAGCACCACGGATACCGCTACCACTCAGTAGACTAGTAACCGTTTGTTCGCTTGGTTTTATTCCACCATTGCGCATGTCATGGAATAACTGGAATGCAATGTTTCCTTGTTCGGCTTGGGCATATGCTGATATCAAAGCAGTCCAAGACACAACATTGTGGTTTGGCATCCTCTTGAATACTTCAACAGCACCACTCAGTCTGTGGTTCTCAGCAAGACCTGTGATCAGAGAGTTCCAAGAGGATGTATCCCTGACTTTCATCATGTCAAATACCTGAAGAAAATCTTCTATGTTCTTGCATTTAGCATACATGTTTATCAATCCATTCCCGATGAATGAATTAAACTCGTAACCCAATTTAATAGTTACAGAGTGTATCTGTTTGCCGATTTCAATCTTTCCAATGTTCGTGCAAGCAGAAAGTGTACTAGTTAACACGGAATTATCGGGAATGATCCCTGACCTATGCATTGCACCAAACACCTCCAAAGCTTCTTTATAATTCCCACTCTGCACAAACCCAGAAACCATTGTTCCCCAAGAAGCCATATTCCTTGTAGGCATTTGGATAAAAAACAATTCCTTAGCCTCCTCAACCATCCCGTTTTGTGCATATCCTGCAAGAAGAGCATTCCAGGTAAGAACATCTGGGTTCCTGATGATGTCAAACATTTTCCTTGCCTCATTCATCCTTCCGTTTTGGGCATAAGCAGTCAACATTGCCGTTTGAGTCCCATTATTGTGTTCTGGAACTTGTCTGTAAAACAGAATAGCATCTTCCAACCTTCCACACTGGGAGAGCGCTGAAATCATTGTGCTCCAAGTGTACTCGTTCTTCTCTGGCATATCATTAAAAAACTTTAAGGCCGAATCCAAACTCGCAGTTCGTCTTAAGGTGTTCAAAATTGCAGTTCCCACCACTACATCACTACTGTATCCCGTCTTCAATGCAAGTGGAAGAAAGTATGTGACCAATCTAGCATCATCCAATCCCGTGATCACAGACAGCACCCCCAATAATATTTGCTGGTCCGGTCTCACTTCACCTCTCATGTGCATATCTAAAAACACCCTCCATGCTTCTTCATAATCATTCATTGATTCATACCCAGAAATCAAAACCATATACGAAACCTCATTTCTTTCTGGCATATCATCAAACAGCTCGCGTGCCTCCGGCATCCAACGCATCCTGCAGTATCCAGTGATCATAGAGTTCCAAGTAGCCATATTTCTATCACCCATGACATCAAAAATCTCCCTTGCACTCCGAACATCCCCATTCTGAAAGTACCCACTGATCATCGCATTGTAGGAGACAACATTTTTCTCTGGCATGGCAAGAAAAATCCCCTCAGCGTCACGAACTCTTCCAGCTCTGGCGTACCCAGAAAGCATAGACGTCCAAGTCCTGACACTCTTGCCAAGAAACGCATCAAAGAGGCACCTTGCATCATCAACGCGGCCATTTTTGCAGTACCCGGAGATCATTGAGTTCCATGTGAAAGCATCTCGGTGAGGCATCTCGTCGAACACCCGCCGGGCATCGTCGACCTGCCCGAGACGGAAGAAAGTTTGTATTTGGTTGTTGCATTGGAAAAGATAGTTCGGGCAGTAGTGCAGAGTGGAGAAGGGTCGGCGGAGTCTTGAAAGAAAACCATTCATGGGAGAAGAGAGATGCTTTTGCAACTTACTCTCTGTGATGTGTGGGATTATAATCCATAGTTTGGAGGGGATGCTCCGTGATAGTTTGTTTGAAAGTAAATGGGATAATTTTGTGTTGACTTTCCAAAAATATCCTTGATGTGATGGATAAAAGTAGGATGTGATGTGTAGATTATTAGGAAAAAGGTATGATATGATATGTAGGGTTTGAAAAAGTAAGGGGTAAAAGTTGTTTTTTAATAAAAATGAGTAAGGAATTGTGGGACACAATTTTTTTGAAACGTGTAAATCTTTTTGGAAGGGAGGGAGTATTTTTTAAGAACTTGTACAATATTATTACTCCCTCCGTCCACAAATAAACTTCTCGTTCACTATTCACAGGGTCAAACTTTATTCACTTTGTTAGCCTATTTTCATTACTTATTTGATAAAATAATATAGTCATGTCACCTCTAGTTTTGTAGATTTTTTGATATAGTTTTATAATATATAATTTCTATTTTAAAATTTTACGCCATTTTTCATATAAAATGATATAAAATAACTTCAGTCAAACATCGTAACGCTCATTTTTGGACGGAGGGAGTATTATTTATATGGTTCGGTTCGGTTTCAATTTTACACTTAAACTCATTTGTACCATGTCGTTTGTTAACATATGATAATGTCAAACCATTCTATAACACTTTGACGCTTTGAAAATATTTTTATTCATTATAGATCATTCACGTATTTTAAAAAAATTGCTTCACCAATATTTTTATGCATTTTTAATCAATTAGTGTATTGTTGGTTACAATTTTTGACAAAACATAATTGTGATTTGATTTTCAACACATAAAATTATAATTTGAGTTGTACTTCGGGGTAATAAAATACTATAAAAAATAAGTTTAACTATGTTAAAATCACACCAAATAAATAATATCTAAACTTACTAAAAAATTACAAATGAAAATTTATAATTAATTCATTAATTTAATATTTTAGTGGTAACAGTTCGGTTCAGTATTTTTGGAATTTGTTTTTTGAGAATCCATCCCGTACCATTTTGAAAACATGCAGTTTGGTTCCAAATATAATTTCCTAGAACCATTTAAAAACATCCTTTTTTGTTTTGGTACAATGCCTGTTCGGTTCAGAACAATATCGGGCCGGTATTTTTGCTCACTCCTAGATTTTGTTATTCCCACAAAAAATTCAATTTTAATCATTTTCGTTACTTATTTCCATTACTTATGGAATATTTGATAAAATAATACTCTATGTCACATTGTGTTTTATAGGTTTTTCGATATAATATTTAAATATTTATTTTTTGTTTCTATTTTCTATACCAACTTTGAGATAAATTAGATAAAAATAATTTTAGTTAAATATCGTACAATACAATGACAATATGTTTTTTTTGAAAAGAGTAAGTATTTCTTTTTGAATGTTTGATGAAAGTTGTTTCTTCTTGTTATTCTTCTTTTGAAATGTGAGGGTTTATAAAGGTTAGGAGGTTATGATCAACTTGGAGTTAATGGACTATTGTAAAACCTAAAATGACCTTATATTATATAGAGTGCTGTTATATCAACTTCAATTTTGGCTAAATCAATCCATTTTATGTTAAATCGATAAATTTATCTTCAAAGTTCGTTTGTATTTAAAATTCATCTTTTATGTTTTTAATGGTACGATTGTCAATTTTACATAAGTGTAGTAAATTAAGTAAAAATAAGAGTGAATATATAACAACATCATATTATATTTGTAGTATTAGCTATTTGTAGAATGACTTCAATTTGGATTGGGGAAAACTTATAAGTTACTCCCTCCGTCCGTACCAAAAATCATGTTCCTAGCAGCTGTTGGTAGGCCTAGGTTTGGGAATGATGGGACTGTCCTCTGGGATGGGAAAATAGGTATATTCTCATTCACATATGAAGCTGAGGCCAAAAGGTCTAGCAAAAACAGGCCACCAGGTACATTAGAGGTCAAGGCAACCACCACTATAAACAAAGATCAAATGAAAAAGATGCTATTGGAAAAGTTACTACCAGCAATAAAAGAAAAATGGCCTGGTCCAACAAGAGATGTAATAATACTGTAACGCCCCAAAACATACCCTAGAATTATTAATGAAAAAAAATAATCAATTAATCAAATTTGTTTTGATTAAAATAAATTATTGTTGGGCTTTGGGCCGATATGAAATGTGTTTTGACATCCAATATCAAAATCTGGATAAGTCTCATAGCGATAAATCCAATATGTGGACTATTTGTGTGGTCTTGATTGAGAACCTGAGTACAGACCCAAATCAAGAGTAAATAAAGAATTTGTTTAGAATGTAAATATTGAAATGATTTGTTGAAATAAATCATGAGAATAATTGATGTGAATTAAATGAGAGAACCTTTTATGAGGAAGGTCAATTAAACTAATTTTGACTCTGTTAAAGTCAAACACCCAAAAATGTGGTGTCAGAAAAAGTATAATGAATGAATATAAAAATTATATCGTTGGATAGAGTTCGACTGTCTGATCGCAACGGTGCAAACGGATTTTAATTCGGAGAAAGTTGGACCAAAAAGTGTACCCCGACTAGGACCAAATTAGTCCCAATCAGGGAAGATTCGTAGCAATCAGACTAAATCAGCCGACCTTCCCATTTCGCCGATCGTGAGTCACCACTGACTCAACTCCATTAGCTTCTTCTTCTTCACCAATATATAAGGAAGACCTCTCTTCCT